CTTCTGACATGGGTCTAAGTATAATTAATGATATTTTAAATTGATTAGTGTGATTATAAATCAACTTGTAGCTCGGGACGCCCCTAATGGGCGTTCTTTACAAATTTCCATCAGGCACAGTTCCTTTGACTCTTCTGTTCCTATCTGATACAGCTCTACAGCTCTGTTAAAATTCGAATGGTAAGATTTACCCTCCGAATAGACCCCTGTACTAACAATAAAGTCAAAGGAACCATACCCCTACTCGCGATCCTTCGAGAGATATAAGCCCCTGAAATAATAAATTCCTATTACAAATATACTAAATTATTTATATTGTTATATTGACCAAATAATAATTTATTGGCCAAATGAATAATAAAAATTTATATTGTTAATTTAAATAAGAATTAAAATTGTTAATTTGAATGTTTTGAAATATGACACACGATAGAAGCGCCTCTAATGTCTGTTATCAAACGGTTATGGGACAGGCAGACGGATATCCGTTGAATATATATAACATATATAGATGTATCATCTATCAGTGGTAAATTAAAGTGCAAAAAAATCGTAATTATGGTAAGTACCTACGTTTATTTATCGGCTTATCACAATAACTTTAATTTTATAATCACGTTTTTTCATGCGGTTTTTGCAAATACTTATCTAAACTATACCTAAAGCACCGGTCTAAATTTTCTAATTTTTTAAACTAAGCTTTAAATAGACGTAACTAATCTCCGGCGCAAAAATGAATCAGTTTAATAATATCAAAAGCTACAGACAGAGCAAATATAACGTCCCACTATTAGTCTGACCACGCACATGGTTAGGGTTCTGTAGTCAGTACAGACTATACAAAATTCTTAGAAGACATCTGAGCCAAAACTCGATGTATTTTAAAAATACAAAGTTAATTTTGCAGTTCATTTATACGGAATTTCTATGAACATTTTACAGACGTGGTTAAGTTGGTCGATTATGTGAGGATAGAAGTTTATGCGCCGCCGCCTAAACCGTTTCCAAAGGCAGGACGGTGAGGCCTATTCACGTGGTCAATGGATGGGAGGGTTAATCGTATGGGGAGATCGCGGATAAGTCGATAGGGTGTCGGCGATGTACGAGTAATCACTCTCACTTAAATTATCAAATAGTTTAATAAGAACATTAACTAATGCCGGCATCACCCATCTAACGGCCTATCTTTGTATTCCTCTTTTGAGCTATAATATGTAACATATTATAGCTCAAAAGAGGAATACAAAGATAGGCCGTTAGAAGGGTGATGCCGGCATTCGCGACATCTACGGGATCTAATCCCTTTTTATTTTCCAAATTAATCTAACTAACTCTCGGTCAATTGAGGGCGGGAGAAGGAGATTTTATGTAAATGAGGATAGATTTACCTCGCTATTCGTCATCGTCTGTGTTGCATAGAGTAGACGGAGTTAATGATGTTGACCAGCCGCTGTCTGTTGTTTGGACGCCCCCCCGACAATCGGGTGCTAGCTCTTTTTATACATTTTTTTTAGGAGGACGATAACTCTCATATAGTTGACGATTTATATGGGCACCTGTTAGCGGTGCCGGATCGAAATCCAGCCGGTACGGAACGTTGCTGATGTATTGTTTGGGCCGGATTGTTGACGTTAGTTTCTTGAAGATGACCTTTTGCGATATAAATTCTGACAAATTCGACACTTCTCTCCCATCAATTATTGTATAGTTGACAATATTTTCCGAGATTTGACAACAGTCTCTAGATTGTTTATATTGGAGGTAATGGATGGCCGCCATCGGTTAGACGTAACCTGGCCGTCTTTCTCCATCCATTTACATCTCCACAAATACTGTCTTTATCAGAAGGCTGTAAACGTGAATTAGTTGAGTCCACGACCACGTTTTAAACTAAAACAACATTTATTTACAACAATCCTTGAGTACACTTGAAAGAGAGCTACACGTGCTCATGACAGCGATCACCTGACAAGAAGAAAAAGCAACAATACCTAGAATTCTCTCTCTGGGAAAAACCCAGTCCCCGTTTTTCCATCCGGGATTCACGGAAAACTTGTAGAGGAGTGACGCCATCTCACCAGTCCGTGATTTGTCGCCGCAGTACCACCCTCCTAGCGACCGCGATCGATGAATCTCACTGGGGGTTTGATTTTGCGGCCATGTCGTGTGGTCTTCGTCTCGTATGCGGGTTCTGGTTGTTGAGTATGCCCAGCCATCTTGTTGCTGGGTTGGTCTATCACCGGCTGTGCAGGACTGATTGAGTCTTTCTCCTTGAGCATAAAGGTAGGTTTCAGTCTGTCGATGGAGACGACCACTTCTTTGTTATTTTTTTTTAATTTTGAAGAATTTGTCTCCCTTTTCCACTACGGGGAATGGTCCGTCGTAGGGAGGGCGTAGTGGGGCGCGTACAGCATCGTAACGTAGAAAAACGTGGCTACAGTCTCTTAAATGCATGGGAACAAAAAGTTTGGGCTCCCCATGCGATGCTGCCGGCGTTGGTGTTAAGTTTTTGAAGAAAGACTTTAGTGTCTTTATGAAATCTGCAGTGTTTATGTCCGCTGGGGTAGGATCGAAGAATTCACCTGGTAAACGTATTGTCTGTCCGTAGACTAACTCACTGGACGTTGCTTGTAGGTCAGGCTTGAACGTTGTCCTTAACCCAAGTAGTACGGTAGGGAGTATCTCCGTCCACCGTTCTGTTAAGTAGGTTTTCAGGGCACATTTTAATGTCCGATGCCAACCTTCGATCATACCATTAGCCTGGGGGTGAAAGGAGCATGTATGTATGTGCTTGGAACCCATTAGAATAGCCAAAGACCGAAACAAACGTGATTCAAATTGGCGTCCCTGGTCGGTAGTAATGACCCCTGGAACGCCGAACCGAGCTATCCACGTTCGGTATAAGGCTTTAGCCACAGTGTCGGCCTCTATATCCTGCAGTGGTTCTGCTTCAACCCAACGAGTATACCTGTCGATCATAGTGAGACAATAGCAATGATTTCCGGAAGGAGGGAGCGGACCAATAAGGTCGATGTGGATGTGATAGAAACGTTTGTTTTCCACGGGGATGCTTGTAATCGGACTTTTAGTATGTCTAGTAATTTTGACGCGTTGGCAAGGAATGCACGTAGTTGTCCACTTGCGACAGTCAGCCTCCATGCCCGGCCATACAAACCGATCGGTTATTAGCTTCACCGTGGCTTTACTGCCTGGGTGCGAAAGGTCATGCATGGCATGGAAAACTGATTGCCTCTGCGTCTCGGGAATAAAAGGGCGAATCTTACCGGTGGACACATCACAGTACAGTTCTACTTGATTTTCTGGTAATATTAGTTTTTTAAGCTGTAGACTGGTCGAACTATTTCCCAAAAGTGATTGGAGGTTTGGGTCGGTCTTTTGTGCATCAGCAATTAATTTGTAATTTATGGGAGAAGGGCAAACGATAGATTCGACTCTGGAAAGTGTATCGGCCGGAATATTATCAGTTCCTTTTATGTATCGAATGTCAGTGGTGAACTGGCCTATATAGTCTAATTGACGTAATTGTCTGGGGGAGCATTTTTCACTTTTCTGGAGAAAAGCGAAGGTCAATGGCTTGTGATCTGTATATAACGTAAAAGGTCTAGCTTCCACCATAAAACGAAAATGCTTAATTGCCGAGTAAGCGGCTAACAGTTCGCGATCGTATGCCGAATATTTCTTCTCCGTATCTGTAAGTTTGCGCGAAAAAAAACCTACCGGCTCTGTGCCGGCTTTAGTGACCTGATGCAGCGCGGCGCCTAGGGCGAACTCTGATGCGTCAACCTGCAACGCTAAATGTGCGTCCGGGGCTGGATGAGCTAGTAGAGCTGCGTTTGCTAATCGAGTTTTGGATTCCTCGAATGCCTTTTTTGCTTCGTCTGTCCATGAAATTTCTGCATTGTCGGATTGTTTTGTGCCTTTCAAATAGTCACAAAGCAGGGCTTGAGCCTGTGCAGTGTGTGGAATATTACGGCGGTAGTAGTTCAACATGCCTATAAACCTACGGAGCTGCTTTACTGTTTTGGGTCGCTCGATCTTTATGACGGCTTCTACTTTCTGGGGGAGAGGTTTGATTCCACTGGCGTTGACTAAATAACCTAGGAAAGGTAATTCATTTGTACCGAGTATGCATTTATCTGGGTTTATTCGGATACCATATTCTGATAAACGTCCGAGTACTTTTTCCAGATGCACGTAATGTTCCTCCTTTGTCTTACTTGCCAACAGGATGTCGTCTATGTAGACAAAAACAAAATCTAATCCATGTAAGACTTCGTGCATAAACCTCTGGAAAGTTTGTGCCGCATTGGACAATCCAAACGGCATGTATAAAAATTCATAAAGGCCGAAGGGTGTTGTAATTGCAGTCTTGGGTACGTCTTCGGGGTGGCCGGGATCTGATGATATGCTCGCGTAAGGTCTATTTTGGAAAATATAGTCTTCCCGTATAAATTCTGAGCAAAATCTTGTAGATGAGGCAGTGGGTACCTGTCTGGCACCGTTATTCTATTAAGGGCCCGGTAATCCCCGGTGGGACGACAGTCCCCGTTCGGTTTGGGTACTAAGTGCAGTGGGTTGGGCCGATTTTATTTTATTTTATTTATGAAAAGTGGGGAACTCCTGGTATCACTCATAGGTATGACCAGGAGGGGAAAAGAAATGAAGGAAGAGGGAGAAATGCAAAGGATAGGGGATGAAAGTGGGGGTAGGAAGAGGGAGGAAGAGGTGGGATCCCACAGCGCACGCTTCACATTTATTTACAAATAAACCAGAGTAAAAAAAAAACAGACAAATAATGAGGACAACTGCCTGACAAGCGGTGGGGAGAACAAGCAAAGCAGTAAAACAGATAAAACAGTAGCATGTAGCGTAGCGATCAGTAGCATAACACTATGATACAGAAAGCCACAAAGGAAGTGAAAATCACAAGGTAACAGTTCCTGGGTACAATGAAGAAACACTTTTGAAGAGAAGTCCACTCAATCAGGATTTCGAACACTGTTGTTTGCGATGTGTAGACTGCTCGCTGGATTCAGTGCTGCCGTCGCTGAGAGAAAGTCTGCTAGCTTATAATAAATGTCCTTGTTTTCAAGGAAGACGTTAAAAGGACAGGGCCAGTTGAAGCCAGCATAGAGTACACTGCCAATAAGAATGTCACAGTTCTGGTTGAACAGCGTACAGTCAAAGAGGAAGTGACTGCTGTCCTGGATGGAAGTGCCATCACACTGACAGATGTTGTCTTCTAGAATATGAAACCTTTTTAAGTATGCTTTGAAGTTACCATGACCAGTAAGCAACTGGGTCATAGCGAAAGAAGGAGAGAAGTGTCTCCACTGAAGGCGCTGGGTGATGTTAGGGATGAAGTTGAAAGTTGTCCTGCCGGTGATGCTGCTATCCCATTCCTGTTGCCATTGGTGGATTGCAAGCTGGAAGTTCCAGTACTTAATTTTAGAAGGTGGGATCTTGTCGTAGCTAGACGGGAGGGAGGAGGCTGCGGCGGATTTAGCGAGGCTGTCGGCGGCTTCGTTGCCTGCTACACCTGAGTGTCCACGTACCCATTTAAAATGTACATTGTGGTTGTGCGTATTAGAGGCAAGATGACGGTGGATTCGAAGAACGTTATAGCCTCTGTGTCGGAGGCCAGTAATGTAGTGGATGGCAGTGATGCTATCGGTATAAACGATGATGGTTTTGTTACGGGGGAACCAATCAGTGAAAACGTAGTCAATTGCCTTAGTAATAGCAAGTATTTCCGCTTGGGGGACGGAACAATGAGGACCTAATTTGAAGGCAGACTTATGAGTGTCGCCGTTTTGATGGTTAATAAGAACAAACGCTGCCCCCACATTCTCGTTGTCCTTGGACCCATCGGTGTAGATGGAGATGTCACAGGTATCATCATGAGGAAGGGTGTAACTACTGATGGTAGGGTAGCCTACCGTCATATTAGAGTTAGCATCCTTCACCTCAATACCGTAGGATTTGATATCTTCCTTTACTTGCTCAGGGAGATCAGAAAGCATAGTATTATTCTTATTGGTGTTGCAGAGGTAGTTGCTGGTGCCTAAGTTGTTAATGTTCCAGATCCTGGCTGCCATTTTGGCTTTCATGTGGACAGGAAGCAGACCAGCAATGACCAGAAGGGCAGAGGTCGGGGCCGTCCGGTAAGCCCTGCAGATCCTAAGAGCTGCAATGCGCTGGGCCTTAGAAAGCTTCCTTTAAATGTGAACCTTCTGTGCAGCCTCCGCCCAGATCGGAGCCGCATAGAGCAAAATAGGTTCAATTGCTCCTAGATAAATGTATTTGGCTGCTTTGTACCCAATGCCCCAGGTATTCTTAGCGATGGAGAAAAGGGCATTTGATGCCTTAGTTGCTTTCGAGACCACCATGTCAATGTGGCTGGACCATTGTAGTTGTTGCTCGAGTTTAACACCTAGGTATATAAATTCCTTGACACGGGAGATTTTGACACCATTGATTTCAATGCGTGGGCTTCTCTGTAGCCGAGTGTTTTTAGAAAAAATTATATAGCAGCACTTCGAATAATTGATGGGGAGCTTGTTTTTGTCGCTCCAGCTGAAGACCTTTGTTAGGAGATTATTACTGAGGATGTGTAAATTGCCAGAGTTCTTGTCAGAGACAAGAATAACTGTGTCATCAGCATAGCCTTGGATAAGATGGTTGTTGTCATTATCATTATTAATATTAGATAGCAGATCGCTGTGGACGATAGTCCATAGGCCCGGACCGGAGATTGACCCCTGTGGACAGCCCTTGGTGACATGATGGCAGTGACTAATGTTGTTCACAAAAAGGCCAGCCTTCCTGTCGTTGATAAAGCTTTTGATCAGATGGAATAAGTTTCGAGGACAGTGGTGAACCTGGAGCTGTTGCAGGATTGTGGGCCACCAGAGGTTGTCGAAGGCTCCACGGAAGTCGATCGAGACTAACAGCGTGTGCTTCCTTTCAGCTTTGGCCTGGGTGATGTACTCTGTGATCTTGGTGAGAGCCGTAGTGGTGGACTTCCCAGGAGTAAAGCCATGTTGATGGTAGGATAGGATCCTGGTAATAACTAGCCTATCTAAAACCTTGCCCATGATTGGGAGCAGGCTGATAGGCCTATAGTCTTTCGCAAACTGTGGGATTTCATTCTGGCGTTATTAGAGTAGCGATCATTTTACATATCTTGCGTGAGAATGTATATAATGAGCGTTGAATAGTGCAAACATATTTAATAAGGTATTCAAACATGCATAGGCGATTTAGACTGAAATTTAAAGTGTTTATTTGTACATAAATCCATTCACCACTCGATATAGTAAATAATGTTGCGTGTAATTAACTCCAGTGGTAAATTTTCATCAAAAGTTTGTTATAGATTATAAAATTCACGATTTTCTATTTTCGGAAAAGTTATATATTTTAACATATTACAAGGCATATGCCGCTAAAACTATTTTAAACTGTTTCACAAAATTTAAGTACGTTTGCACGCCCCAATCAATTGTTAAATTAGAATACCACGTATTAAATTTGTAGTCTGAAGCTTTATTTTTAAAATCGGTTAAATAATTATCCACCATTCTTACCAACACATCAGACATCGTTACATGACCTCGATAACCGTAACTTTTTAACAATGCTAACAATTGATTATTCTATGTGAATTTCACACCAATAAAAATCACTTTATTCCGAAAAAAATTCATAGGCTTAACCTGGCTTCAATGAGGATCCATAACTCACAAACAAACAAAATAAATAGTTTAATATTAACAAAGAAATACGCGTTAAAATTACTGTATTTATTGTCTTTTTTCTATTTTAACTATTCGGCAATTTGAACAATAAATATATTTTTGATGTGATAAAATATATGAACGGAAAGAACTTTGTCTAATTAATTTGTCATTTTTAAACAGAAAATACCAATTTCGACACTGAACACCTTAGCAAACAATTCTGAAAATGTAGGCCTACGTTCTTTCGTCGGATATAGTGATAACTTTCAGTACTGATGGTTTTGTATGGAACCATGTATCGTTTGCCATTGGGCGAATCCATATTATCCCAGACACTTAACTATACCGACAGAAGATGAACTATTCGATGTCTTCTTCCATAAAAATAAGGACAGTAAGTACTTGAATTTTTCACAACTATCGCTTTTATGACGACTAGTATTCGTGTCTAACCATTTATTCAATTATAGATGAAAACGTCCAACTACCACTTAATGTTCACTCACCAACAGAAGACGAAATCGAAATAGATATTGCAATGTTTCCATCAGTTGCGGGCTTCAATATTCGTCATTTTTCATTTACATTCAAAGAACGCTTTACAATTGATGCAGGAAAAATGCCGTACGTTTCGAAGCTACTGAACATACCAGAAGAGAAACTGAAGTCACTGTACTTAACGATTATCGGATCGATTCCCTTGACGATGGAACTTGTGCATACGAGCTCGTAAAGAAGATAAGGGGATTGCTTTCTATGGTGAGAGAGTTCGGGCAGTTTCTTTATGTATCGAACGGGATTGTTATAGGGTCAAAGAAAAGTTAGAAAGACTGAAACGTTTGAAACCGAAAATAGTGCAAAAGAAATGTTTCGCATTCGCATGTTTCGCAATACCGGAAGCGTTCAAAGCAGAATTTCCATTCGTTACCTCTGTTGTTTTTCGCTATTTTCCTGCATTTCAAGTGTTGAATCTACCTGACAAGTACAATTTCGATTACGTTAAAGGTTTTTCGCTTAACGAATTTGCAGAAATAGTTTTTGTATGGTACGAATGAAAATGTAGCGATAAAATAAAATATTTTTTGTCTCGAAGCAAATTAAATCATATTGCAACATTGCACACTCTTCTGTATTGGAATAAATTATGTTTTAACAGAGAAAAATTATTACAAAGCTTCGTATTGAATAACAGCAGAAATTCATTAATTTGTCACCTGAATATGCCGTATTATTGGGTATTTTATATTTTTGCTGCATTCGATAAGTCATATACGATTCGAAAAGAAAACAGGGCACACACTACGGACGTTCATAGACGTTTCGTACCATCGAACGCTGCAGTGTGCTTCCGATTTGTTTACGTACTCTGTTTAGGCCCAATTCGCGATGTAGAGACATTCATAATCCGTTTACGCTGCATTCAGATTTTCCTCAAATATTTATGAATTATTTTTAGTGACGAATTTACATACTATGAGTAACGCTCTTCTTCTGTATTTAAACAGGAAAATCAAAATAATTAAAACGAGTGCCAAAGAATTACATAACGAAGCGATTAGCATATTTAATTAATGCGAAATGAGTTTTATTTTGCACGTATTACAGGTAAAAACGTACAAACAGCTAATATTCCGAGTTGTCTTATGCCAATAAATTATGATAATTGTAAAATTTATTGTGTTATGATGTTTTTAATGTAGTACATATTTTAATACATGATTAAATGTGTACTAATTTTAATAAATTTAGTTTAATTGCGTGTTTATATTTGTTTTACAAAAGAAAAAACAATAAAAATGTAGATTTAATTTGTGAAATTTTCTTATAGTTCATTACTTAATATATACTGTATTTTGATACAGATAGTATAGGTGTAGTTAATATTATGTTATATTGCATTTGTAGGCATTTTTATACATGATATACAGTTAAAAAGGCAAAACAAAAAGACTATTTTTGGAACCGGGAACAGATTAATCCGTTTTATATTGTTTTTTATGGAGAAATTTGTTTTTGTTTAAGAACAAGTCAGTTTTGGGAACGAATTAAAGTTTTGTTAAATTTGAAACAAGATTCCTTCATATTTTGTTTATACAAATATTTAATAATTTGTTTCCTTTCGACTCGATTTCTCGAAAAGTATTTATATTGTTGTGTTGCATTAACACAATGAACATTATTTCATTTAACAATGCAATGTTAATAATTGCATTTTAACAATAATCACAACATTTGTCGTACTTTTTTAAACCAGAAATTGTCACTACTCGAGCGAATGGTAAGTGTCATTACTGAAATTATTTGAACTCGAAAAGACCTTTCGTATTCTTGAATTACGTGTCTTTTAATGATCAAAATACAAACTTTTACAATTGTTAAACTTAAAAAACTTCTATCGATCTGGATATTCTAACATAAAAATATAAATAATATATGTAATTATATTAATGTATTTGTTTATAAGGAGGTCGCTTCGAATGACAAAAACGGCGGCATTAAATGTAAGGTGTGTAAAAATGAGTTTTCAAACGAAGTTCAGTTCCTCGAACATCTGAAGGAGAATCCGAAATGCGAAAAGTTGACTTGCGACGTGTGTCGGAAACAGTTTAATTGGATCTCCAGTTTGAAAACACCACAAGTTAATACATTCAAANTTTCAGACTAAAACTACTGTATTTAAGCTGTTATGAATAATAGTCACTTCATACAGTTATATGTAAAAAATATTCAAAAATATAAATAATATATGTAATTATATTAATGTATTTGTTTATAAGGAGGTCGCTACAACTGACACAAACGGCAGCATTAAATGCATAGTTTGCCAAAATGACTTTTCAAACGAAGTGCAGTTCCTCGAACATCTGAAGGAGAATCCGAAATGCGAAAAGTTGACTTGTGACGTGTGTCGAAAACAGTTTAATTGGATCTCCAGTTTGAAAACACCACAAGTTAATACATTCAAACGAAAAGAAATTTAAATGCGAGGAATGTGAGTATTCTACGGTAGATAGAGCAAATTTTAGAAGACACCAAAATAATCACTGAAAAAAAAGGACTTTATAAATGTAGTTATTGTAATTATTCGACTGCATGGAAAAGCAATTTAGACAGACATATTTTGCTACAACATTCGAAAAAATCGAATATTATCGAAAAAGTAAGTATTTATTGGGAAATTTTTGAAGGAAATTCAATCTACATTCGTACAAACAAATAACATTTAAAATGACTATCAAGAATTTCCAGTTGATGTCATTTTCTTATTGTAATTTACACTTTCAAGTGTTCAGATTACTCGTGTTTGTCAGACATTTTTATTGCATTTTCTTTATTTAGAAGTAACAATTAAAAAA